CCTACTGCTTGCCTTAACTGTTATTCATCACCTAAGGCAAATGTAAAGTTAAAACTCTTGCCTATAGTTGTTTTAGATGTACGTTTCCCAGGTAGAAGTTGTAGTACTGGGCATATGCCAAGCCAGGACAAATAAAGACAATCCTTTCAATAGATGGCTTTCAGGTAACCACAAGAGACAGCAAATGATGACAATTCTTTGGGAGTGAGGGTCTGAAAGAGCTCCAGCTCCATTCTGCTCCGATACCAGTAATGCAGGACTGTTATATTTCAAGATTACTGCTGAGCTGGAGAGTAGGGTATGAGAATAGGGCAATTTAAAACACCACAAATGTTGCTATTCTTGCTGAGATTCAGCAATTTTTCTTGAATAGGCAAGTCTTTGGTTATTTTCCAGAATAATGTAAAAGTTGTGACAATTTTGCCTCCTTTCATGGCAGGGTAAGTTTTTACAGGTCCTTACTCCAGTTTTTCACTATCATCCTGACATTTATTTCTAAAAAAAATTCATAAGTACTTCTAAGATTTACTTTCAAGTATTTTTACTGCAACTTATTTTATCTGTTCTCACATAAGTAACAGAGTAACTAAAATTAAAATTTATTATTTATAAATTATTGCTTTTAGTTCTTCTTGGATATTTGTGACTTACCTTGCTAATTCTTATTAAATTATACCAATAATTCAACTGGGATGATGAAATATAACTATCTCCTGAAGGAATTAAGAAATAAGAGATAGTACATAGCCATGCCTACCATAACATTAAGGGTTATAGATATGATCAGCAGAAAAATTGTTTAAAAAAAAACCATGACAGACTAAGAGACAAGCCCAACTGCTGTAATATGGGTATGATAGCCATGCTATTAAGAAGCAAATACTATTAAAATCAATTTGTTAAACTCATAATCCTTTAATCCAGTATAATCTGTTCTGCAATAACATGATAGCCAAAATCCCATGAAACCCCTCATTATCAAAAAGCATGTTTAAAAAAATCTCATTGGGGAAATTTGGGGAGAGTGGAGCTTAAATTCTTAAAATGTTCTTAAGATTTGGTGATAACAGAGATCACTGCCATTTACAACTTAAATATTCACATTTCTTTAATCTATGGGTTCATAGTTTACATCAAATTTGAAAAAAAATTCAGCCTTTATTCCTTCAGATATTTTTTTGTTCTGCCCCTACCATTCCCCTCCCCAACATACACTCCTTTGGGACTCCAATTACACATATATGTCACTTGAATCTGCCCTGTATCTCACAGATGGTATTTTCATTAAACATTGTTTTCCTGAGTTTCATTTTTGATAGTTTCTATTGTTATGTTTTAAATACACTAATCCTTTCTTCTGCAAATCTTGATCTATTAATCCAATGTAATATATTCTTCATTTCAGACATTATAGTATTCATCTTCAGAAGTCTGACCATTAGTCTTTTTTACATCTTCCAAGTTTCTACTGAACTTTTTGAACACAGAGAATACATTTATAGTAATTTCTAATGTATAGTCTTCTAATTCCACCATCTGTGTCAGTTTTGGTGAAGGATTATTCTCATTAAGGATCATGTTTTCCTACTTCTTTGCATGCAAGTAATCTCTTATGGCATGCCAGAGATAAATTTTATATTCTTGGGTGCTGGATGTTTTTGTACTCTTAAAAATATATTTGAGCTTTCTTCTGGGATGCATTTAAGTTATTTGCAATAGTTTCATGCTTGCTCTTACAGTTTGGTTCAGTGAGTCAAGAGAAGAGCTCAGTTTAGGGCTAATTACTCCCTTCTACTGAGGCAAGACCTTCTTGATTACCCACGCAACCCAATGCCCAGTGTATTATAACTTTTTCTAATCTCACTGGTGAGAATAGGCTCTGTTCCTGGTCCTGTGTGTCTGGTTCTGTTCCTTCTAAACTTTTGAGATTGTCCTACCCTGGCTTTGGGTAGTTTCCTTATACTCATGCATTGAAAACTGGATGGGAAACCCTCTGTAGATATCCAGGGTTCTCTTTCTATGTAACTCTCTTCTCTCTACTATGTTGTCCTGTGAACATTAGCCATGTTAGTCTCCCTGACTCTCAGTTCCATCTACTCAACACAGAGAGTCTGCATGGCTCTGCTGGGTTCCTCTTCCTTGCGCCCAGAGCCAGCTAACTCTCTTGACAAAATAAGTTGGGACAATAGTAAGGTTTACTTTGTTTCCTTTCTCTAAGAATCACTGTCCCTTGGTCTCTGGAGTGAATGTTTCATATATCTCTTTCCTTTCTACCCAGAATGTACTTTTGCTTGGCAGTGACCCTGTGAGAATAATGGCACTGTGGGAAGAGTGTGCAGTTTTCATTGTAATTTGATCAACAGCAGTAAACAGTTTGCTTGAGAGCTATTCATATAAAAATAAACAACTATTTCGTTGCTGTTCTTCCAAGGAAAAAAAAAAGAGTTACTTTCCTTTGCTGTCTGATACCAATTATCTTGAAAACCATTATTTCATATATTTTTTGTTTCTTTTCCAGGGAATAAATTCAGTCTGTTATTCTTCTATCTTGGCTGGAAGTGGAGGTGCCACATTTGAATAAAGTTTTATTTGTTAGCTGTTCTGAATTTAGAAACAGAGAATTGGGCATTTCTCTATAAAAGTATGAACTTAATTTAAGTTAGTTTAAAATTCTTTTTACAGGTATACAAGCTTTCACAGGTTTTTTTTTTAATTTGATTGTTGTAGTTTGGTAGCTTTCCATAGAAAAAGATAGCCTACCTTCATATCTAAAATATATTTATGGAATAATGTAATTATCCTATATATCTACTATCAAATATATTGTAATTTTCTGTAATTTATTCTATAAAAATAGATAGTATTTTTTAATGGAGTAAAGATATAAAAAATAGCATAAAGTCAGAAAGGAAGGATTCTTATCTTGTCATTCCCCTATTAAGATCATAAATGTACAATGTGAGAATATAAAAAATTAATACATCTGTAATAAGTTCATTATAAATTCTGTAGGATACTAATATGGATCCATCTTATGTAGCTGCATAAAATATATTAAAAGATAATCTAGGTTTCCAGGCTTATGAAGAATGATAAATCTCTTAACTCACTGTAAACCAGAAAGCTTTTTTTTCATTCACATAGACCTCATACCTGTCATAATACTCATTTCACACTGGCATATTTTCCTCATTTGAAAAATAAATCACCTAACTTTTAAATTTAAGAGCTAAGATGGATAGGAGAATTCAGGCAATCAGTATAAAATTACAGTTGTAACTTCCCTTTCAACTATGCTACTGTATACTCTCCAGAAAATCCATTACCCTTTATATACTCTGAAAATTCTTCAAGTTTTATCACCTTTCTAAGAGGTGATGTGCTTGCCAAAACTGCTTGTTTGTAATGAGTTTTCCCACTTCATTAATTAGTCTGGCACAATTCTCGATCCCTGCTGATTTCTATGCACTGGCTTTGGATCACTATCAGTATAAGTCAAAGTAGTTTTGTAAACCTAAGTGAGAGTTTTAGTTATTCTTGAGTAGCCAGAAGTAACCAAAATTATGAAAACGACTATAAAAATGGGAGATCACAAGTAGAGGTGATTGATATCAGCCCGGGTAAAAGCTGTGGCAATAAAATGCAGCCCCCAAAAATGGAAAAGCAGAAGTCTTGCTTGTGTATGGCTAAGAGGTGTGGGTCCTAGACACAAAAGAGAATGAAACAGGTAAGCAAAATGTTGGTACTTCAAGGAAAAAGTCCATGAATTACATGAATCTGTAATTAGGAATGCAGGCAGAACCAAGTAAGAATAACAAATGAAGGATCAGGTTTGATTACTGTGAAAACAGAATTTTCATGGTGAACGGCTAAAAGGCACAGCCATACTGATCTTGAATTAACCACCTGAAGATACTAAATCTGGATAAGAAAACTTCTTAAAGTTCTCTTTCATGAGAAGCTGCTCTAGATAAGACATACAACATTTGATGTCCTCTTTAATAAGCAGTCTTGTATTTCCTTTTAAAGATGAATCACGAGCAAGTCTAGCTTCCAGGTAGTATCCTCCTATTTTGTCTCCTGCTGTTTTTATGTGCTGTGTCCACTAACGGTCATATGATATTAGTTAAAATTTTAAAACACATTAAGTGGTTAATTTTGTATCATATGTTGGTTTGCACTTTTTCTACAGGATGATGAGAAATTAAATGAATCTGTAAGTGGCACCAAAGAGCTAACATGTCCCCCCAAATACTTTACAGAAAATGACTAGCTCAGGGGGTTCTTTTGCCCCCAACTGTTCTTTGAAAAGCATCCTGGAAAATCAGCTGAAACAGGGCCAATACGTATACCATCTACATGTGGACTGCAGGTATGTCATTGGTGACTCCTGGATTTGCACAAGCAGGGACCTGTCTCTAAAATGAAGTTTAACTTTAGATTATACTAATTGAACTGCTTAAAACTTTGTTAATTGTAAAGAATATGATCATGAACAACTTAATTGCAATTAAACTATTTTCAGGTTAGTACCAGATATTTTCAATTCCTTTCAAAGTCTCTAATCACATATTATAATAATCCAATTTTCTAAAACTTTCAATTGGTAAAATTTCCTAAATGAAAAGACAGGCTAAAACAGAAAAATGTGAAGAAAGTTATGTGTATTTTCCTAAGCAATTAAATACAGTTTCTTTATAGTACACTCTTTTGTTTCCTCAAACATTCAAATTTCTATCTTTATATAAATATATAAAAAATATTCAAAATGAAACTTTGGGGGCTCTAGTTTAAAAGTAGGGCAAAACATAACTGGTATATTCGAAAGGCAAGTCATCACACAGATTGACTTTCTGCACCTTACAAACTCATATATTTGGTATCAATTTTCCTAGAAGATAATGGTGTTTTTATTTCTAGAATCAAGGTACTTGGGGCAAACTTAGCTCCTTGTCTGACTCCTCAGTTTCCAAAACACTCAGGCTATGACACAAACTTACGTATTTCTTCCACCACTTGTGGGTCACATTCTTTGTATTTTTCTACTTCTGCCTTTAGCTCTTGCCTTTGGTCTCGAAGTGAAGAAAGCTCTTTTGCAAGCATGTCTCGCTCTTCCTGCATTCAAGATTGTTTTATGTACAATTAAGACAAGTGCCATATAAGGTTATACACTTTATAAACATTTTCATTTTATTTCCCATAACTGATTTGCATAGGCTTTTAACATTATGTATGCACATACATATATTCACAGTATTAGAACAAATTCAATTCTCATTTTTTCTCTGAAATCTCAAGTATCTTTTATATATATTGACTAGTTGAATGGGAATTAATCTGTAGAATGGAATGCTCATAAATAAGATGAGAGGTTACCAGTTATGTATGAACTTGAAGAAAACTATGTCATCATATGTTAGCAAAAAGTATTATACTGCTGCTTAGGTAGTTTCACATGTTTGTGTCTATATATATAAGTAGTATTTTATGGCAATATCAATTATTACACAATTTTTCTTAAAAGTATTCCAGATAATTTCAGCCTTTAAGGATAACTAATTGTTAAAAATATTTAAAGATATCAGAAATAACAGAATTGTAGCTGGCTGCCTCCCATCAATTTCCTTTAAAGGTAAACCAGAATAAAGCTTTGAAACACAGTATGATCCAATAAATAAAATTTGAAATTTCTAGCCATAGTTCTTACTAACAAGTAGAAGTCATAGTGCTATAGGTATTCAATTCATGTGTTTGAAATCTGAAAAGTAAGTGCAAACAAAAATCAAATTCTTGCAAAGATTATGGTACTGCATTACAGGATAAGTCTGAAGCAAAACCAAGTAGAGTTCTAGCTGCCTAATGGGACTGTTTAAGGTTCCTTGCTAGCTTGTATTTTTGTACTCATATTTTTCTACTTTGGCCTTCAGCTTTGTTCTCTTTGGTTCCTAAATGAAGAAAGTTCTCTTTGGTTCCGAAATGAAGAAAGCTCCTTTGCCAGCATTTGTACGAGAATACTTGCTTAGAGCAGCATGATCTGAGGCAGCACGTGATAGGACAGAAATACTCTAGATCTGTGTTCTCCAATGCAGAAAACATTTATCACATGTGACTACTGAATACATGGAATATAGTGTGGCTCATGTTGATCTTCAGCATTTTTTCAAGTCTTAATCCATACTTGAGATAATGATGAAACTAGAAGTAAGGTGATTTTTAAGACCCCTTAACATAATACTTCAGAGAACATGTACATTTAAAAATATTAAATCAATATTCATTTAAACAATTTAGAAATATTATAAGGCCATGAGGAAATTATATTGATAGTTTTCAATTTGTACTGTACCAAGACTTTTAAAAAACATAGATTCTTAAAAATTGACATAAATGTTTATACAGGACTTGTACTATATACTCTAAGGGTTTTGTAAATATTAGCTAGTTTAATCCATATAATAACCCAATGGGGTAGATTTTACTATTTTATGTTTTACAATTGAGTAAACTGAGAGCAGAGAGTTCAGAAGACTTTCAAACCAAAGTAGTCTGGCTCCAGGTTTGTGCTTCTATGCTATGCTGCCATATACAAAACAATATAACGCAATACAGTAATAAGTCTATACTCAAAATGAGTGAATCCGACCAGGTCAAATGTTCATGTCCTTTGCTGTGACTCACTTATTTTTTGGTAGGAATGGCATACTCCTCACAGGAAGCTCTGTCCTTACTTTTCTATTTAAAAGTGATATTATTTAAGTATCTACAGATATGAACTTACCATTTCACATCGGCCGATTTTAGCTTTCTCAATGCTTTTCTGCAAATTTGCTTGCTTTTGGTTTCCCTCAGATAACTAGAGAATTAAAACAAATAAAACAGTCTACTAAGATAAACTTGCTTAACATGAAGTTTATGAGTCAAGAAAAACTGAGATTTGATTTCAGCCCAATTCAATGTAGCAAAAAAGTCAGAGACTAAATTAGGAACTACTCTAATTTGAAGAAAACCAAGTGAATCATTAGGGCAGACTGAAAAAAGAAAAAGTTAAAAAATATTTCTTCTTATCCTATATGCAGGAAAATGAATAATATTCTTTCAGTATTTTCTACAGTCTTCATTTATCAGATTCCCCACCCCAATCCCAAATAATTTGAGGTGAATTATTTAGTTAAAAATTGAATCTGAAAATTCAGAAAAACCTATTTTATATAAATTCTCTCCAAACTTCATTTCACTTCTGACTAGTATTTCAGAGCACTCTAGATTGTTTCTTATAGACTTGTAAAATTCAGGAATAGAGAATGTTCCAGTGAAATATATTAGCATGACATCTTACCATTAAAAATGTTCTTAAAATAACCAGATAGGTACAAGTTATCCAAAAAGTTAATAATTATATAAAAATAATTAATGGATATATATATCTTAATTACATTAATGAAGTGTCTTCTAGGTATTGTATGTCTGATTGTAATTATTTATAACTTAAAAGTCTTTAAAAGAGAGCTCATTTAGGAATTCCTTAACTCTGAAAATAATCTTACATATTTTAAGTGTTATTTCATGATCTGTCATTTTAAATATCTAGGTAATGGAGGGAAGCACCATCTAAATGATGTTATCACATGAGAGGCTTCTGCTAATTATCCTAATACTGAAACAATATGGTTCAGCCTAATAGTGAAGGATTCTTGGCTCTCTGCTCAGTTTTAAAATGTCAACTACTAGAAACAACGCAACTCTCCTGAGGTGGCCCTTGCTATCAGCTTTTCATCTACATCTCTCTCAGATGCAGTACTGCTACAGTTCCTAACCTGTACTTTGGAATTAAACCAGGCCTCAAGTGATAAGAGTTGAGCTTTCTAGCCGTCCTCCCAGATGTGATTTTAAAAACAGCTCAGTGAGGAAAGTACTTCTCCGCCACTGCATAAAGATTTGGGAGTCCCATGACTTCTTTGATCACACTTAATCAAGATCTATAATTATTCTGAGTTGTCAAACAAAGCATTGATTCAGAAATTAGAATGTCTAACATAATAATCCACACTCCAAATCTTAGTTTAAAGGTTAAGACTTCTCCCCTTTTCTACAATGGCTGGCTACCAGTGGGTCTTTTGCTAGAGAAGGCACATTGCCCTCTTCTCTTTCCTGGTCTAGAGTTTCTGTTCTCCCTCCAGTCAACTGAGTGCCCCTAACCCACAGCAAGGACTGGGGAAAGGGAGAGAGAATAGGTAAAGAGGACAGGAAATATCATAAATAGGTATTGTTAAGGTGCCTCAGTATGGATGGCCAACAGGCACATGAAAATATGCTCCACACTGTTAATCATCAGGGAAACACAGATCAAAATCACAATGAGGTATTACCTCACACCAGTTTCCAGAACACTGTAATTTAAGTGAATCTTAATTCAGTTGAATGTTGTTAGTAGACTTGGATTTTTCCCTTGACCCCATCAGTCTGTAATAGTTAAAATTACAACTTTTGCAACTTTTATGAAATGGTCTTTAATAGTTCAGCAATAATCCTGTGCTACAGGTCTTTTAAGAAACTCTATGTACTTCAAAACTGTACAGGAATTTTTTAAATCCTGTACTGTTGGCCAGTTAATAAAGATGTAAAAAAACCTTCTTGTAGAGATGTAAAAACAGAAGCCTGTTGTATAATGGATCTCATTATTTTTCTTTTTTTTCAAAAAGGGAAATGGGAGAACCAAGATGGCGGCATGAGGAGAGCAGCGGAAATCTCCTCCCAAAACCACATACATTTTTGAAAATACAACAAAGAAAACTCTTCCTAAAAGAGAAACCAGAAGACACAGGACAACATCCAGACTACATCCACACCTGCGAGATCCCAGCGCCTCACGAAGGGGGTAAGATACAAGCCCCAGCCCGGTGGGACCAGAGTGCCCCACACCCGAGCTCCTGGTGGGAGGAGAGGAGTCGGAGCAGGGAGGGAGAGGGAGCCCAGGACTGCTAATCATCCAGCCCCAGCCATCCACACCAGAGCGCAGACACACAGAGCGTGCATAGGGTGCTGGAAACTAGGGAAACAGGACAGTAAGACCTGTGAGTGGGTCCCCAGAGCTGGCGCACCCGGGACAAAGAAAAGTGAGTGCTTTTTGAAAGTCTTAAAGGGACAGGGACCCCACGGTTGGATGGAAGTGCCCTGGGACACTTAGCCCAGCAGCAGGGAATCCTGGGGAACTCTGGGCACCCGAAACCCCGTAGTGCAGCTCAGAGGCCCCTCACAGCAATAAATAGCCTCCCGCCTGTTCCCCCTCCAACGCGGCTCTGCCATATTGGAGCAGGAGCCTGAGGCAGGCCACGCCCACAGCAACTGCAGAGCTAAATAAACTCCAAAGCGGCCAGGCAAGATCAGAAGCCCCATCTGCATGCAGCTGCCCGGCAGAAGCCGCTGTTCTCCCAGATGAGGAAGGCCACAAACTGGCAAGAAGGGACTTTCTCTTACCCAACACAAGCGCCAGCTCCCCACAACTATATCTATCGCCATGAAAAGGCAGAAGAAATTGATACAGACCAAGATCACAGAGGCAAACCCTGAGAGGGAGATAGACCTAACCAGTCTTCCTGAAAAAGAATAAAAAATAATGCTCATAACCACGCTGATGGAGCTGCAGAGAAATATGCAAGAGCTAAGGGATGAAGTCTGGAGGGAGATTACACACATCCAGAGGGAGATTACAGAAGTGAAACAAACTCTGGAAGGATATATAAGCAGAATGTATAAGATGCAAGAGGCCATAGATGGAATAGAAACCAGAGAACAGGAACACATAGAAGTTGATGCAGAGAGAGATAAAAGGATCTCCAGGAATGAAAAAATATTAAGAGAACTGTGTGACCAATCCAAAAGGAACAATATCTGCATTATAAGGGTACCAGAAGAAGAAGAGAGAGAGAAAGGGATAGAAAATGTATTTGAATAAATAATTTTTGAAAACTTCCCCAAACTGGAGGAGGAAATAATTGATCAGACTATGGAAGTATACAGAACTCCCAACATACAGGACCCAAGAGGGACAACACCAAGACACATAATAATTAAAATGGCAATGGTCAAGGACAAGGACAGAGTTTTAAAGGCAGCTAGAGAGAGGAAAAAGGTCACTTACAAAGGAAAACCCATCAGGCTATCATCAGACTTCTCAACAGAAACCTTCCAGGCCAGAAGAGAATGGCATGATATATTTAATGCAATGAAACAGAAGGACCTTGAACCAAGAATACTGTATCCAGCACGACTATCATTTAAATATGAAGGAGGGATTAAATAATTCCCAGACAAGCAAAAGTTGAGGGAATTTGCCTCCCACAAACCACCTCTACAGGGTATTTTAGAGGGACTGCTCTAGATGGGAGCACTTCTAAGACTAAATAGGTGTCACCAGAGAAAATAAAATCACAGCAAAGAAAGCAGACCAACCAAATACTAACTAAAGGCAAAAAATAAAATCAACTACCCACAAAAGCAGTTAAAGGAAGCACAAAAGAGCACAGAATAAAACAACCAACATATAAAGAACAGAGGAGGAGGAATAAGAAGGGAGAAAATTAAAGAATGACCAGACAGTGTTTAAAATAGCTCAATAAGCGAGTTAAGTTAGAAAGTAAGATACTAAAGAAGCTAATCTTGAACCTTTGGCAACCACAAATCTAAAGCCTGCAATGGCAATAAGTACATATCTTTCAATAATCACCCTAACTGTAAATGGACTGAATGCACCAATCAAAAGACACAGAATAATAGAATGGATAAAAAAGCAAGACCCATCTCTATGATGCTTACAAGAGACTCACTTCAAACCAGACTATAGGAACAAAGAAAGACTCAAGGAACAAAACAGCAGGAGAATCATAGAACCCAAGAATGGACTAACAGTTACCAAAGGGAAAGGGACTGGGGAGAAAGGGAGGGAAGAGAGGGATAAGGGTGGGGAAAAAGAAAGGGGACATTACGATTAGCATGTATAATGTGGGGGGGGGCATGGGGAGGGCTGTGCAACACAGAGAAGACAAGCAGTGATTCTACAGCATCTTACTACACTGATGGACAGTACTGTAATGGGGTATGTGGGGGGAATTTGGTAAAGGGGGGACCCTAGTAAACATAATATTCTTCATGTCATTGCAGATTAATGACAACAAAATTAATTAATTAAATTAAAAAATAAAAAAATAAAGGGAAATGAACTCTTCTCCTTGTAAATCTAAATTCCCCATTACAGCTAATAAAGGAAGACTGAAAAGATTTTAAAGATACAAATGCTTTGAAGAAATAAACAAACATTAAAACAGGGTCAATCCATTTGAAGAAAAAGTCAAACGAAATAATCACTATTGTTCCCTTTTTTAATTTAACTTCTCGGTACTGATTACATCCACATGGAAGTAGAAGGTAAGGAGTTGTTTAGGAAAATATTAGCATCAACTCTACTTACATTACTGTTTAAGTGTTTACACAGTTTTGTTCTATTATAAACATTTGGCCTTTTACTATGTTATTTTTATTTTTTGTATGAACACATTATTCTCCTTATTTATTTTTGTTACATTTATTACTTATGTTATTTTGTTATGCATTTACAACTCCATTTTTAAATAAAGTGTTTCTGGAACTTTAAAAAAAATGGGCACTATCCACAAGACAAGAAATAATGAAGTGTTGGCAAGAATGTGGAGAAAGGGGAACCCTCCTATACTGTTGGTGGGAATGTAAATTGGTAAAACCACTGTGGAAAGCAGTATGGAGGTTCCTCAAAAAACTAAAAATAGAAATACCAGTTGACACAGTAATTCTACTAGGAATTTACCCAAACAAAATCCCTGA